ACAAACCAAAGAAAATGGAGGAGTAAGATAGTAAATTCAACGGCAAGCAAGCAAGCAGCACATTAAAAGGTTGGTGTATTTCCATCAGCAAACTTGTAGCTATAGGTAATGTTCTATTTTCATGGCAATGTCACAATGCTCTTGGTAGCATATAGATCAACAAACTCCTGGGGCATGCTCTCTCCCACTACAGAAATGCAGCATTTTGCATCAGTGAAGGTTTCTGCAGATGTACATCACTCTCCCTCACTTGAACGTCATGAATTCACCTCCTCGGCGCCTTTTTAGATACAGATCTCACTGAACTTGAGCAAGGTCACGTTCTGACTGCTGCAACACTACACGGCCGGAAGCATTGCTGCTCATTCACAGATTATTTATTTCATCCATTCAGCTTGCCTCTGAACCGACCCAAGGTTTCCTCACTGCGTTTTCAAAGGAAGGAAAGCAAATGTTTGAGCACTGATGTTCTGAGAACACCCTGAGCAGCTGCAGCCTTCATGTAGATGCCCATCGCAGCCACTTCCCTTCAGATGCGACTGTTTCATCACATATTTGTGACTTAAAGCAGCTTGGAAATGTGACCACCAATTTCCAAAATTAACATTTGAACTCCACCACATCCCAGGCAATCTGACAACCCCAATTCCCAGAACCATGAAGGTCACAGCAATTTCACCAAAAATACTGCACAAGTTAAAAAGAACCCCCCCCCCCCCCAAAAAAAACCCAAAACAAACAAAAACAAGTCCTCATCAACATGAATTCTGCAATAAAATACACCTGTAAGATCAACATGTTGCACTGAATTTACTGAAAAAATCATCACTGGTATTTCATAAATCTTATTTCCCAATATCTGAGAACAGCAAGTTTAAAGATCTCTTAAAAAATAAGTTTTTCAATTAAAAAAAAAAAAGTCCCTTACAGCATACTGCACTTCATGCATACAATCAAGGTTTTGATGCCAATCAAATTTAGCAAGACAAAGTTGTGCATGTTTCTCCTATATGCTAAGACCTCTATTTAATAAGTAGCCCGTTCAGATTGGTCTCAAATAGAAAAGATTTGCACAGCTGATGCCTTCCAATTGTGGGCACATTTTAAAATACATTCTGAATAATATGAGGTGTTCAACACGTACTATTTTGTTTACTCCAATAACCCGAGAACAAGCAATTGCATACTTGGACCTTTTGCTAACTCTCAGCATAGCACTTCACCACCATCCTGTTTATTTGCTATGGCACGCAAAACTCAACAAAGTTTAGGTCACCTTCTTAGAAAGAACTTTTTCTTTTTTCCACTTAGTTAAACTACTGGGGAACACACACAAAGCTTCCTTAGTGAAAACTACTTTCAATTTTATTTCTAGCAACTTGGGGTTTGTTTCCATTTCATTCAATAAGTCACATTCAGGATGTGGACTTTGAAGACAGGCATCTTTGATACAACCAAGCAGCCCACAGCCAGCCCACTGCCTCACCTCTGTCAGCTTGAGAGCAGCACAGTGATTTCTATGGCAGCTGCTGCAAGCTTTATAAATCCCTTTACATGGGGTGCAGGTGGCAAGGTGCTGGCAGCACAGGGACTGCAGGGATGGCCCCTGTGGGAGGAGGCCAGACACAGCTGGGACCAGTGGACCCGCTGCAGCACAAGCTGGCAGCATCTCTGGGAAAATGTACTCAGGAAGAGCAAAAAAAAACAAACACCAAAAACAACCAACAAGTAAACCAACAAAGACAAGGGAACAGAAAGAGCAACAATCAGCAGAGGGAACACCAAGGTCACAGTAGGAGGAGGTATTCCAGGTGCCAGAGCAGATGTCACTGCAGCTCAGCCAGAATATGGAACAGGAAGATGTGCCCCAAAGGGCTGCAGTCTGTGGGAAGCCCCAGCTGAAGCAGATGCTTCCCTGAAGGGCTCTGCCTGCACCAGGGCAAAGAAGAAACATGGGAAGGAAGAGCAGAGAGGAACTGCCCCCACCAACTGTGCTGAGCCTGGGAAAAGGCAGGAGGAAAAGTTTTCTTACAGGGTCTGAGTTTCTGTTTATCACTGACGAATCTATTTTAACCAACAAATTAATTTTTCCCAAATCAAGACTGTTTTGCCCACAGTAGAAATTTGTACGCAACATCCTTATCTTTTTCCATTTATCCTATGGTCTGCCTCAGCTCCCCTAAGGAACGGAGCTGCACAGATGCTGGGTGGGTGCCTGCTGTCAGCCAGGGAGAACCCACCTCAACTCACAGTTCTGCCTGACCTTTCCTGAGTGTGCTGATGAAGCAAGAGCTCAGACAGATTTGTGTTACACAGCATGAGCGTTATTACTGCTGCTGAGTCCCGGACCTGATGAGGAGAAATGTAGTACAAACTGGCTCCGTGCCCAACAATTGTGAGTGAGGTTAAAGACTTTTCTTTCATCTATTTATCCTTGTGTAAAACCAATGCTAGTCATAGAGCATTTTCTATGATCCAAGCTGCAACTATTACTTATGGAATACCAAAGGCAGTGATGACTCCATTAACATTTCTCTTCCTTGTTTATCAGAAAGCTCTCTGAAAGTTTATAAAGCCTTTCAGAAATAATCCAGGTACAAAAAATAGTTCCAGTAAGTGCCATTTTTGTGCAACTGAATTCCTACATAAGCTGTCATTTACATTTGAACCACTGGCTTCGAACCCCCAGTTTTAAGAGGAGATAAGAGCTATTGGTAGCACAGAGCAGAACCACCAAGGCAATAATTAAGCCCACTCAAAATACTGCACCACACTTCTCCACAACAATGCCTAATGCATACACACAAGCTTCACCCTGGGAGCTGCCACGGTTATTTCTTCCTTAATAGGTTGCAGGCTTCAAGAGGGCTTGATACGGGAAAAACACTGAGCCCATGTGAGACAGTCCAAATAATAATGTGGTCTCGTCACATTTCTGTCCAGTTCTCTCACCCACAAATGGTCAGTTTCCAAACGGGAGGAGTAAAGAATTAACAGACTACTCTGTTGAAACAGCATAGGAACAAAGGGATTATAAGACAGCTTCCCCAAAAGATCCTTCCCCTTTGTGTCCAACAGCAGTCAGCACTGTTCCCAGAAATACTCACAGCCCATTCAAATGCTCCAGCATCCCAAAGCGAGAGCCAATCTCACACAATAAAAAATATAACGACAGAATGAAAACTCTTTCCCCTCTGTTCCTTTCTTTCTTGTTCACAACCTTCTTACAGCAAACTGTTCTATGTTTAGCCAAAAGCATCTTCTGCTACCAGGCCCCAGCCGATTTGCAAAACTGAGCGTTGCTGCAGAAGGAGTAAGTGAAGTTCTCAGGATGTGCATCAAAACATCTTTCAGTTCATGCATCTCCACAGATGGAACAGAGGCCCTGCCTCTCTCTAGTGTCTCCAGCTGATAACTTTGGCCTTCAGCCTATTAGCTACACCCAGACCCAGCCCATAGACCTGCAGATTTAGATACCCTCAACAGCAAAGGCACATACTTCATTGAATTCTTTTCATTAAATACTCTTTCTGCCTTACTCCATTAGAAGAGGAGCATTGTTATCACTTAACTTACCATGGGCATTCCTCTCATTTAACTAGAATTTGGAAGCCTTGGATATTGATACAATCATTTCTATGCTACCAGAAAGAGAGGAAATACACAGATGATACTTTTGTATGTTTTAAATACCAGAAAATGCTCTAATCCTACGTACTTTAACTGGTTCAGAATCTGGAAGGTACCATAACAAGATACTCACTGAAGTGTACAGTAATTTCATCTTCTCTGATGTGCTTCTGCTGAGTAAGAAGCACTCAGGTCAGATAAACTGAAAACTGACAGTGATATCCTCTGCCCATCTGTCCCTACCTGTCTGAGATATCTTCATGTGTCTTAAACCGGAGATGCTCTTCTCATCCAGGCAGCCAAAAAGCACATCTTTACTTGAACCGATCTGTAAGTAGTCCACACAACTGAACAATGCACGTTCTTAAACTAAAGATAACACCTTTCATCTCATGCTTATTTTTAACCAGTATAATACTATCGTGTTTCAGGATCATCACTCAGTTGTTTCTAAGGCCAACGTATCTAAGTCCATCTACTCGCAACCCAACAGCCTTAAATTCTCTCTCTTCCCTTTTATTTTGATTCAGGCTTCTGCTTTTCAATCTGCATTTCCACAGACCCAAACCACACTGCTTTCCCTCTGCCTGCACACATGAATGAAGCCCCTGCAGCTGCCCACGATGCCACCAGCTCTCAGCCCACCCTCTCTCCTGTTAGCAGCACTGCAGCCACACTAGGATCTGTCTCCCCAGAACTGACTTCTCCCTAAAAACATCCTCAGGCCCAACGCCCTCAGCCGAGTGAGCTCAGATGCCATCATCCCCACGTCTTTTCCCAAGCACAGAACGAAACAAGCTCAGGAACTGCAGCCAAAGAGAAGAACATCTCCCAGTTCGCTATCCATTCCCACACCTCAGAAGGAAAAGCAGCTTTTCATCTCCTTTATCCGAGCATTTAAAAGCGATGTATGTATACAAAACAAAGGACTAAGCAAGTCATTCACAGTTTTTAACGCGAAACAAAACGAAGGGGCACCGCACTGCCGAGGCTTTGCTTTTTAGCGCGGGAGCGGAATCCTCCGTAAGACGCGCTACTTACGGCCACGCACAGCAGCGCAGGAATCACAGGTAGAAGGGCACGCGGGGCGTCGCGCACACCGGCAACATGTGCGCCCGCAGCCCGCACGCCGAGCGCGGATCCCGCCGCTGGGAACCGGATGGCCACGCCGCCAACACGACCGACGGTGGAGGGCGGCTCTCGTAGCCCCCTCCGCCGGCCCCGAGCCCCGCCGCTCCCCGATACCCGCAGGCCCCGCGCCGGCTGCACCTGCCGAACCCGGCGCCGGCGTCCCCGCCGCGGGCCCTCCGCCGCGGCCTGCCGCCCCGCTCCGCCCGGCCCTGCCCGCCCGCCGCCGCCCGGCCCCGCACCGTTAGCGATGAGCTTGGCCGAGAGCTGCTTGACAAGCTCGGGGATCCGCTCCCACTGGCACTCCGAGCGGCACCGCTCGATCTCCGTTTCCAGCCGCGAGCCCGCCTTCTTGGTGGCCATGGCCGGACCGATGGGTCCCGGCGGGGAAGGGGCCGCGGCGGCGGGAGCGGGCGGGAAGGAGGAGGCGGCGGAGGCGGGGAAAGGACGGCGGCAGCACCGGGCGCCTGTGCGCCGGGAGCGGCGGAACTCGAGGGCCGCGGCCAGCGCCGCGCTCCTCGCCGGCGGCGCCACCTGCCGGCGGCAGCGGGAACAGAGCCGGGCCCCGCCTCGCAGCTCCCGCGCGGGGCCGCGGCCTCAGGAGGCTGCCGGGGCCGGCGGAGCGCGCTGCGGGCGGACGCGGGCCGGGCGCCATGACAGCCCAGGGAACGGAGCCCGGGCACGCGTGGGGAAAAGGGGAGACCCGGCGGTCTCACCGGTTCACCTACTACCGTACGCGAACACACACCGCTCCTGTTTCCTAGGCTGTTCCATAATATGTAGATCAATTTTTGTCTTGAATGGTCCTCCCCACCTCGCAATTTCTCATCTGTCTACCTCAGGGCCTTGGAAGATATGTTAGTCACTTCCACGCAGACACTGCTCGCTCCACTCTCTGGCTGTCTCAGGTGCTTGATCCACGCCTTCACACCCAGTTACACAGAGGCGGATCTCAGCCCAGCCTCCCCAAGTGGCTGCTCACCTCTTCAAGCCCAAAAAAGCAGGGGGTACAGCAGCACACACATAACAAAAGCCCGGACCACGTGCATGCTGTCCCCTACTTTCTAACAGAAGGAATGAATTGCAGCATCTGAGTGGAACCAAAACAGCCGCAAACCAAGTTGAATAAATACCATGCATCTGCATCAAATGTTACCTCACCTACAGGACACAGCAGTTCTGTAGACTTACCCAGACCTCAGAAGAACAGTCTCAACTGATTTGTACTGGAACATGCAGCAAAACCACAAAGACTGCACTGAAGATTATTCTTGCCAATTGCCATTTATATTTCCCAAAATAAGGATAGAGACCCCACTTTTAGAAGAACCAGTTACACAGGATGCAGGGCAATCTAAGGCACTAGACACAACCAATTTATATTATTTAGATGTCTCCACATCCAAGCGCAGACTTGTACAGTTTATTCTCTTTACCCACAGAAAGAAGGGCACGCATATGCATTCACCTCAGCCTGTGAGGACTGCTTACTGGCTCAGACATTCAAAGCACAGGCTGGGTGCAGTGCTGCTGTAAACACTGTATCGCTCTGGATCTAATGCATTTTAGACTTCAGAAACATCAAGATCATACATGAAACTCAAAGTCGAGCAAACTTCACACTCCTATTGTGAGAACAGGTCAACTCCTGTCCTTAATACTGTTTCCCAAACCCCACGAGTTATAAACTTCAAACTCTTGGGGAATAGTACCATCACCAGCCACCTTTATATAAATACTTCATCTAAATGTAAATGCAACACACCTGTGGGCATTGGTAGAGCTGCTATCCACAAAGCAAAATTTCTGTAATATTCCCTCATTAGCGTGTGTGTCACAAATACTAGGAACAGGTGTTTGCTGGTTTTTGTTTGTTGTTTGTTTTTATCATCAGCTGAAAGACGACAGCTCTCAAAACTCTATGCCAGGTAGCAACAAATGCTCTTCTCAGTGTTTCCGCTAATTTACTTTTAACTCCCAGTGCTACTGAAAATGTAATAATAAAGAATTCAGATATTATCTGGCTTTTCCCCAAGTTGCTGTTACAGTACTTGCAGGCTTCAGTTCAAATTCAAGCAGCATAGACTTCAAATTTAAAGAAGTGAAACAGAAACAAAGAGTAGCAGGACACAACAGTGTTTAAGAAATAGAAGGGAGTACTGTTTAAGAAATAGAAAGGAGCAGAAAGAAGATTTAGTACTGCAACAGAAGCAAAAGGAGAAGGATGTGATAGAACATTCCTTGTTGTAAGTGAGGTTTCAGGAGATCTGGAGGACATTGAACTAATCAGAGAATTGAGTTTTAATGGTCAAATGAAAGAATTAAATGAAAAATGAGGCAGCAAACGAATGACAGCTAAAAATCCCTGACACTGTACCTATTGGTTCTTTTAGGCATAAAAGGAGGAAAACCAACATTTTAGTTTTCCCAAAAAGCTGATTTGCTTATGAAGATCATTCATATTTATTCATAACAATTTTAACACATTTTGTTTGCACTGATCACATCATTTCAGTAAAAGCTAGCAGTGAAGGAATAGTATTAAAATATTTACATAACAGTTCAGACTTATTATCTCAGTGGTGACTGCTTATGAAGTGAGATATCTATGCAAAAGGATTAGAGTACCTTGAAATGTATTGGAAAAATTAGGAAATCTATTTTAACATTAGCAAAACTTTCACATACCTATGATGCTCTAAGATTCTATTGTAGATGACCCACAACCACGTGCAATAGTGAATGTGGAATTAATAGTGTAACAGTGATACAGGAAAAACAAGTCTGATCCTCTATGTTCTTATCAACTATCATTTCTTTTTCCAACCAAGACAAAATGTTGATTTCTGAAAACAGCCAATTAATTAAGCTTCCAGTATGGACTGATGCACTTGCAGATGTTAAAAGACCTCAGGTACAGTGAGTTAGCTGGCTAGTTGGAAAAGATGGATAGAGATCTCATTTCTGAAAATTATGCAAATCATAATGCATGGCAATAAACAAAGTTATGCCAGTCAACCTCCTAGCCTCATGCTGCCCCCTTCTCACTCAGCCCCAAATCTCCTCCAATATAGGGCAATAGGAGAAATAATGCTCAATTGTGTTCAGTGCAATTACATTAGCTAGGTAGGGAGGAACAGTAACTTTCAGCCTACAGGAACACCTTAATATAAACTCTGATACTTGGGTAATCTGAAAATAAACCTAATAAAAAAGTTTTCTGCACTCCTATTCCATATAATACAAAAGTGCTGGGTGTTCAAACTGGTAAAAATCTAACAGAGAATAATGACTTGCATAAAACATTTCAATCTCTACTATGATATTAATCTGTAACAAGGGATCAGAAAGCCCTACCTTTATTTCTAAAAGTAATATATTCGAACAGAATGCTAGTAAATTAAATTATCAAAAAAAAAAAAATCACAAGCAAACTTAGAAGATAACTGGGTTTATTCAAGATTGAGCTTTTGGCTTCTTATGCAAATATTATTCACTGCTGAAATAGCAGAGATGGAACCAAATCTCACCTTTGTTCTAATTAAAAAACATTTTAAATAATTAAAAAAATCATAAAAACACTTTCATGACAGCTGTGCTGAATTCAGCTCACTGGTATGCAGGCCCTTGAGAGAACAGGCTAGCTGAAACTTAAAATCCATTTTGTGTCAAAGGCTATCAGTGCATAACGTCAAGTGTTGCATTGCTATTACCAGAAACATTTAATACACAAGGTTACCTATTATTCACTACTGACCAGTTTTTCTTCTGAAGAGTTTGAAGCTGCTAATCAAAGTGCTGCTTATTAAAACAATTTTCTTCATATCAGAGTTCTTATAGCATATATCACAGAAATGATATTTTCAGGCAAACAGAATCACAGGGGTTGGAAAGGGCCTCAAGAAATCATCCAGTCCAACCCCCCTGCTAAAGCAGGTTCCCTATGCAATAGGTGACATAAGTAAGCATCCAGATGGGTCTTGAATATCTCCATAGAAGGAGACTCCACAACCTCTCCGGGCAACCTGCTCCAGTGTTCCATCACCCTTACCATATAGAAGGTCGTCCACATGTTTGTATGGAACTTCCTATGTTCAAGTTTGAGGCCATTACTCCTTGTCCTATTGCTATGCAACACGAGAAAAGCCTGGACTCATCCATTTGCCTCCCACTTCTCTTTATTAATCAAATTCCCTACTGTCCCCCAGCCTTCTTTTCCCCAAGCTGAACATACCCAGGTTATTTAGTCCTTCCTTTCACAGGAGATGCTTCATGCCCCTAAACATCTTTGCAGCCCACCACTTGACTCTAGGAGATCCCTGGTTTTCGCACTGTGGAGCCCAGAACTGGACACAGTACTGTAAATGTGGCCTCACCAGGGCAGAGTAGAGGAAGCCTCAACCTGCTCACCTCGCTCTTTTTACTGCATCCCAGGAGTCCTTTGGCCTTCTTGCCCACCAGGGCACACTGCTGGCTCATGGCCAGCTTGCTGTCCACCAGAACACCCAGGTCCTTCTCAGCAAAGCTCCTCTCCAGCAGGTCATTGCCTAACCTGTACTGATGCATGTGGTTATTTCTCCCCAGGTGCAAGATTGTACACTTACTCTTGCTGAACCTCGTCACGTTCCTCCTACCCCAACTCTTCAGTCTGTCCAAGTCTTGTTGAATGGCAGCACAGCTTCGTGGTGTATCAGCCTCTCCTCCCACCTTTGTAATATTAACAAACTTGCTGAGGGTGGGCTTTATCCACCTTCATTCATCTCAGGTTATTGATGAAGATGTTGAACAAGACCAGACTCAGCATAGACCCCTGGAGAATGTAATGTAACAAAAGACAGTTCCTCCTATCTCCACAAAGTATACACGAAATTAAAAAGTCGACGTCAAAAAGGGAAGCCTTTCCTCAACACAAGTCTTTATTTCACCAATATCTTATTTTTCACTCCAGATTAACATTTTAATTTAAGATAACATATTCTACTGCAAGTTATCGGAGTACAATTCAAATACTACTTGTATTTTAAAGAAAACTTATTCAACTCGTATGTAGATACCATTTTCTCAAGTGCAAAGTGCCATTTTTTTCCCCAGCTACCTAGTTTCACTAATAGCGTTATGCTAACTGCAGTTCTCCATGCCTACTGCAGCCAGTCATCTCCATGAAATTTAGTAAAGTCCATATGAAAACTGTCGGAGAGAAAATATTTCATAGTGACACCTGGTTCCTTTCTGGGAGTATCAAACTGCAATTTAAAAGCTAAAGTAAGAATTAACAACATCCTCAAAACCAACAGTATGACTATATCCACAGCCACACGCAACTTGCCTTCCACTACATCTCATAGCAAGGAATGCAGTCACACATACATGCTTGTAGCAAAATATTCCAACAT